GGATTAACTATGGTTGTATTTATTCTCCTTTATTGAGAATTTCTTGCAGGGTACCTATCAAATTTTCTCTTGAGAGCTTAAATGAACGCAAGTTTCATTTAGATGGTTATCTGGAGATTATGGTTAAACCGGGGAACATTTATACTTTACTTTTCGGTATTATCACCTAGAATTCTAACAATTATCATTATTTACCCCATACTATCATTAAATTTTTGAAGTTCATTCTGGGGACTGAGAGTCCTGGGCGCTTGATATGTTTTTCTGATTTTTTCTGGCATTCTAAGACTTTCAGGTTTCGCTTTGGTAGAGGGAAGTATGTTAAAAGGATGAGTACTATCAAATTTTCCATTCTCTGCCAGTTGGTTTTTCCTGTTTTGGATGGGAATCATAATCTGGAAGTTTTTACCAATCTTCCGTTTATGAGTGATTCTAATGTTTTCTTTTGGAGTATTCCTTGCAGGCACATTAGTAATTGCTGTCTTGGGAGCTTTAATGTTTGCAAGGTTCTTCTCTTTCCTCTCTTTCTCTACTATTTCTATTACCTTTTGAGTTTTTGCAGGAAGTTCGTGCCGAAAGCTATTTATTGGATCTTCCTTTTTTGGGTGTTGTCGCCTCACAACCCGATAGATATTTACTATCAATTTTGTAATCATAGGATAAGGACCGACCGGCTTCTAGGTTTTTTTCTCTCTTTTTTGGATTGTAGCTCTTCGGAGCAGTAGTAAGCTGGTTAGTCCTTTTAAGGACTTTGTAACCGATTTTTGATATTAACACGTAGGCCCCTCCGTGGGTTTTAACAAAAAAAAAAAAATTGAGTATTAAATATGGAAATAATCATGCCTCCGACTATTCACGCACTTTTTTTTAATTACAATTAATATCAAGTCTTTATAAATACTTTCAAATCCCAATGTTGATGGTGTATTTTTCTGAAGTAGAATGGTGGCCCAAAGACCCAAATTATATTTTTCTCATTTGCTTTTCTTCACAAACCTAACTTTTATCTATCTCAGAAGTTTTTGAGAAAAGAATGGATAGTTTTAATACAGAAAAAATTGTTTTAATTATAAAAAAAGAAAAAAAAAAAACATGAATGGATAGTTTTTAATTCATGTTTTTGCCTTTTAGGGAGAAATATCATATTTTGACTTATTCAAAATGCAAGAAATTATAAAAAGTTATATTTTAATTTAATAAAATTATAAACGGTTTAAAAAACTGATATATGCTTTTAATGAGAATCCAGAGCAAAGGTAATCATCCCATTCAATTACATAAGTTTTTTACCTAAGTTTTCCTCCTATAAAAATCACATGGCTGCATCTTCAATTCATCTTCGTAGAACCAGAAGCCTTCGTTGAAAGGGAACAAAAGAATAACCAACCTGTAAATAAACTATTTGAATCTTTTGTAGCTAAAAATGTGAATAGGAGGCAAAGTTAAAAATAAGGCTTAATATATATTGAACTAATTTTAGTTCGAGATATTAGCAACCCTTTCGTGTAAAAGATAATGTCAGATCAAATGGTTTGCCGAATCTTTTATTCAATGGGAAATTGGTAATGAGTCCTCCCATTTCTGACAGGATGATTGCTTAGGCTCTAGGTTTATTGACCCACTTAAATACTCATCTTACCTCATCATTGAAAGTCTCTTACAAATTACCCAAAAAAAAAAAAAGTCTCTTACTTTATTTCTGATAGTACATGTTCCCAAAGACAGCTTCGGGAATTCATCCCCCATTGTCAGGTTCAAGAAATCTGCATGATTCCTTTAAACATCAATTCTATGGATCAAATCCTTTGTAAGCTATCGAATGATGGCGACTTTAACTATAGAAAAGCATGGTTTTTTTGAGAAACAACAATCATGTTAATGCTACTTTCAAAAATTATGGAAGTCTACTATTCCCATTAAGTACCCTTTGTTAGGTTGGAGAATTCTGAAAGGCTTTATCCTTGTTGATTCTAGGCTCAAATTGAAGGGGATCAATCTTGCTTCTAAATGCCAATGTAGTTTAGGCTTAGAAACTATTAATCATGTTTTTCTTTACAATCTGATTGCTGCGAAGGTTTGGAATGGTATTCAAATTGTTCTTGACATTAATTTATGTGTTTATGCTACCAATATGACGATTTTCTTTACTAATATGTATCACAACGATATTTTTTTTGCAGCTTAAAGGTCATTCCGTTAGGTGTTTTGTGGATGTTTTAGGAGAAAAGAAACAATAGCAAGCATAATGATATCAAGATGTGTCATAAAAGGGTTATTAGCTCTTTAATGCATAGCTAGTATTCATCAACATTTTCAGGTTAATATTCTCTTGACCAATCATTTCAAGGGCAAGGGAGGTCTGGTTGACTTATTTCAATATTTCCAGCAATACTTCTTTTGCTTTTCCCCCATAACCATTAATTAGACTAAACCCAAAGCTGGAGATCTGAAACTCAATATTCACACCTCTCTTTTTAATCTGAATTGTGGTTTTGGGTGGGCTCATTAGGAATGCACATGGTAATTTTGGTGTTTGGTTATTGCTCTGTGTATCCTTCATCTAATATTGTTGCTACCAATCTCACCGCTCTTAAAATTGGCTTAAAAGTTTGCTATAATCTATATTTTCAATACATTTGGATTGAATTAGATGATCAAAAGGTTCGTAATATCGCAAATAACATTGTTGCTGTGAACATGTCGTTTTGTTATAATTCCCGTAGAGTTCGAACTCTTTTACTAAATTTTAATTATGCTTTCTCTACTATTATTTTAGCTGTGAATTTATGTGCCGGCAATCTGGCTAGCGTTAGTTCTACTAGAAACATCCTTTGCTCTCTTAATCACATGAATGTACCTATGTTTATCAAATGTTGCATTTTATTGGATGCTTGGGGTTTCCCTTATATCTGCTAATTTGGATTTTTCATTTTATGGTCGGATCATGCTTAATGTTATCATCTTTAAATATTTTAGTTATTAATCTTCCTATTCATGTGTAGTTTTGTTTTTGCTGATGTATTCTTGTTCTTTATTCGCTTTTCTCAGCTATTAGTATTTTCTATTTTTCTCAGTCTCTATTTTTATCAAATCGTTGCTATCTAATCTATTGGTTTGGCTGTGTGTTTCAATGCTTCTTGATTCATGTTCTCCTTTCATGGCTTTTATTATGCCTTGGTCGTTGTCTCAGTTTATCATGTTAGGGCACTTATTCTAGAATGGCTTTTGCTTGATCTGATTTGTCTGATGGTTCATCTCTGCTATTTTTTGAGTGTCATGATTTTCTCATTTAGGTGCAGCACTGGTGCCGGCCTTTGTACGTTTTTAGAAATCTTGTTTCGATGGTTTGGATTAAAGATTATATTTGATGTTCGAGTAGCTTCTATTTTTGTAGGATGGGCTGCTTAATTTTTTTTTCTTTCACTCTCCTTTTTTTTTTGCTGTCGGCTCTTGGCCTCCCTTAGGCTTTTTCATAGGTTCTTATTTTGGCATATTGTAATTAGTTGGGAACAAAGGCTCTTAGCTTTCTTTCTTTCTCTATAATGTAGCTCTTTTGAGCATAGTGAACAATTGTTCTCATTAAGGACTTATAATCATTTTCTGATATTAATGTGTAGGCCCCTACATAACTGTGGGAGGGAAGGGAGGGGGGGCAAGGGGGGGCACGTGCGCCCCCTTGAAATTTTTTATTTTTTTTTGGTTGCTTGTGACATAAGAGTTTAAAGCATTTTTTTTAAGAAAAGGAAGAGATTGAGATATAATTATTAGTCACTATTTTTATTACATGTAGTATATTTATAAATTTTTTTTTGCATAATTTATTTATTAAATTTTTTTCTCAAAAATGGATCTTTAAAGTATTGTATTTATTTTAAGATATGTGTAATATACATTTTAATTGATTTTTTTATGTTTTGCACTCATTTTAATGCAAATTTAAATGTGAAGGATTAGTTTACATAAAAAAATTAGCATTATTTTTATAAATAATAAGACCTAACAATTTTATGATTTAATATGGAAGAATATACTTTAGGTTTTGTTCGGAATAGTTTTCTTACTAACTTTCACAATAACTTTCTTATAAAATTTTCACTATGGAAAGAATATCATATCAAAGGCCCAAATGGAGACTGCTTCCAAATGACTTGCTTTCCCTCAACCCAACTGCCTACTTCGTTTTCCCCTTTGCTCATTTCTCACAACTCATAACCTCGAGCACAACTTTCCTTTTCCTTTTCACGCCTCTCTCACCATGTTATTTGCATTCTTAATTTTGATTTTAGAACTCCTCTTGGCTACAGTAATGAGACGGCAAATGGAACAATTTTAATGTACTCTGACCCTTCAAAAAAAAAATTTTTTTTGGTTGCTTGTGACATAAGAGTTTAAACCTTTTTTTTTTTTTTTGAGAAAGGAAGATATTGAGGTATAATTATTAGCCACCATTTTTATTACATGTAGTATATTCATAAACAAATATTGACATAATTTATTTATCAATTTTTTTTTTGTCAAAATGGATCTTAAAAGCAAGGTTGTGAAAATCGGATCGGACAACGAACCGGAAGAATGAGAGGTTCATGGTTCGACCGGTCGAACCTGGGTCAAACCGGATGACGTAATAAATAATAATATAATTAAAAGTAATAAAATTAACATAATAATAATGACAATTTATTATAGATAACTATTATTCCAAATGAAATGTTATATCTTCTTTTAAACCAAACAAGAAAATATAAATAAATAAAAAAACTATAGCATTACTCTTCCCACCAACTCACACGTCTTCTCAAGTCCAGGTAATGGCATTCACGCCCAATCCAATATTGAATTCATAGCTGTTCCATTTGTTAGAGGAAGGCCACTACTTTCTATGAACAAAACCATAGCATTTCAGACATATATAATATCTCCAATCTCCATTCAATCTCCAACAAGAAAAAAAGTTCTTTTCCTCTCTCTTCCGATCTCCACAACAACAAAACAGAACACAAATGAAAATCTCAATCCAAGACCTCCTCATCCTCCTCCTCTTCCCCCTTCTCTTATCTGCTCATGAAGAATCCAAAAACCAAAAAGAGTTTACAGTTGTAGAAGGCATGGTGTATTGCCAAAGCTGCGAGCATACTGGTTCTTGGTCGCTTGAAGGTGCAAAGCCCCTTGCTTCAGCGAAGGTTGGAATTGCATGCAAGGATCATAAGAAGAGAGTTTGGTTCTACAAAGCCATTCAAACTGATAACACTGGATATTACTACGCTCCAATTCAAGGAATGGAGGGAACAGAAGGTGTTAAGAAGAAGGAGATTAGTGGTTGTAGTATTCACCTGCTGGCTTCACCTGACAGCACTTGTAATTTGCTTACTAATATCAATTTAGGGATAGCAGGAGCTGGAGTTAGGGAGGGGAAGAAGGTGATGAAGGAGAAGGGATATGAAGTGGTGGTATATGCTGCTCCGCCACTGGCTTTTAAGCAGGTTAACTGTGTTCCTGCTGATCATTAGTTAGACTGGGAAGTGAGAAGTTTGTTGCTGTGATTCTCAGTTGTTGTATGTGTTTGTTTGTCTCAGTGGTGTTACTGTGATTTGTGGTTAATTTTGAAGTGATTACAGATTGGTTTCTTTGGATTTTTGTTATACAAGCAACGCAATAATACTTTTGTTTTGATGGCAGTGGAAGTGTAATGAAATGAGCGAGTTTGAGTGAACTCAAATATTATTAGGCTACGCTCATTTAGCAAAGCAAACCAAAGTTTCTGTTCTTGTTTGGCTCGTTAGCTTATCAAGCTGAAAAAGATCAAATCAGATTTTAGTCTTGTTTGATTTATTAAGCATAGAAGCTTATAAAAATTAATCAAAATCAAACTAATTAGAAAGTTGTATACGATTGAATAAACATATATATATATATATATATATATATATTTGACAATGTGTTGTTGTTTTAGGATGATAAATTCTGTTTTAAAAAGCTGCTTAGCAAAGACTGTTTTGTATGTTGTTTTTCAACCGATCCATAGAAGTTTCTTTCAGTTTAGAAAGAATTGCCACTTGTCATGAGCTTAAACCAAGCTCAAAACATTTGAGTTATGCTTTTCCAATGCAAAGCTATTCACAAAGAGGAAGGAAATGTGTCAACTGAGGTATCAGTGTTAGATTTTGGAGGACTCGAGACAGGCAGATCTTCACCTCCGATCTGACCTTGTAATCCTTGGTCCCAAATGAAGAAGCCCGGGTATTGCTGAGCTTCAACCCACTCACTTAATTCGTTCTTTTCAAAACATTCATGGCTGCCGCTAGCCGCACAATCCTCACCAATGCAGCCAGGAGGTGGACCCATTGTTACCATCCCGTCCACAAGGGGAGGCAAATAGTTATGATCGACAAAAGAGCAGAGAGGAGATAATGCCTGATGATCGTTCTGGTTGCCATTTGTGCTCCAAATATCAACCAAGTTCAGGTTTCCGACGTCGGCGACAAGCTCATGATCATCTTTGCCCATTGTGGCGCCGCACTCGGACTCGAACATGAATAGAGGGATGGGGGAAGAAGGGAAGATGGAGCTGTTGTCATTTGGATTTGAGTTTGTCATGACTTGATTTGCTAGTGGTTCAAATTGAGCGAGGGAGTTGAAGTCTTGTGTAAATGTTGGTGGAATCTGAATATTTGAATTTTGGCGAATTGAAGAAGTAGATGTGCCTGTGTTCGGCTTTCTTATCTTCTTCTTGATCCATGAATTCCAATAATTTTTTATCTCGTTGTCTGTCCTTCCAGGCAGGTGGCTTGCAATATGAGCCCATCTACAGTTTAAAGTCATGATGTAAGTAATTATTAATGAAAAGAATATACAAAAAGTAAATGTTAAGTGCCTATCATGTCAGTTAGTTAATGATGCAATTACTTTTTATTTTTTTCTGAGTTTGACTGCCAAATACACATTTGATGTGGAAGAGGTTCTACTCCAAAATAATGAAATGACTTTTAAAATGTTTATCAACTAAGCTAACTATATTTGCAAACCAGCTATATTTGGAACAACAGTTTTAATTGCATCCTAATAAAGCAAAAACATTACAAGTAATGGTTCACTTCGGATGAATTGATAGACTGAAAATAAGAATTTAATAGAAGTGTTTATATGTTATGTTGAGTAAAAGTTTATATATTTTTTAATTATTGATTTATATGAGAGAAATTGAATTATTTAAGGTTACAGTGAATATTAATTAAACCAATACGCAAATCCCATTATTAGTTTCTAAATTTTTTTATTCTTGTTAGGGAAAATGATTTATTAAGACATGCATGTCGTTATTGAGTAAATTTACTCTTCAGTAATTTAAGAAATATTATGGACACACAAGAACATAATCTTTTCTTTTGCTGAAAAATTAGAAAATTTAGGTGTGTAGCACTTAATATTTGAATACTTTTATGCCAAAATTCAACTATTTTCATTTATTGCAATATTATCAAAATCCTAAAGCGCAAGACAAACGACCAACATATTTAGCTTTTATTAAATTCTCATGAGTTGATCATGTCATGTGTAAATATATGAATTTTTAATTCAAATTTATCATAAAATGTAAGATATAAAAAATAAAAAATTAAAAGATGTTCAGTACTAAGAAATTATGTTTAGTAAGAAATTATATTTACTTAAAAAAAATTTATGACAGTCGGTGTATAAAGCATTTTTCTTTCCTGGTGATTCAGGAAATCTATACAAGTATACAATATATATCATCATAATAAATAACTTGAGGTGTAGTCAAATTTTCTTTTAAATTATAGTCAAATATTGAGGTTTAATTGTAGTCTTTCAAAATTACTGAATAAAAATAACACCTATAGCCTCAAGTTTGATTTTAGTCACATTTTTTGATAAAATATGAGTATATATAAAGTATGCAATAAAAAAAAAAAATTTAATTGATATTTGGCTTAAAATATAATTAAAGATCTAATTTCACACTTAGACAAAAAAATATAATAATCACAGTTTTTAAGAATTTCTAACGAAATAAATTTTTTTATTAATATAGCTTAGAAAAAACAATTAATTACAAATCTTTTCATTACACGATTAAAAAAAAAAAAAGTCTTGATAAAAAAACTTGGGATGCGCCAACATGCCATAAAAAATGTTTGTAATGCAAGCGTTTAACGTAATAAGCAGACATTATTAGAAAAGCGATTCAGAATTCAAACCGGTTTCCAACCACTGCATGCAAGCTAATGATTAGTTTCTCCTCTTCAGGGCTGAATCTCCCACGTCGAATGTCAGGCCTCAGGTAATTTATCCATCTCAATCTGCAACTTTTCCCACATCTTTGAAGTCCTGCTATCCATCTCATTGCAAGGTTAATTAATTTTGAAGTGACGAAATCTATTATTTTATTAAGCTACATGACCTTCCACTAGAAACCATAATAATTTTTAAAATTCATAATTAGACTAAAATCCAATGAATTAAACATTAAGCATCCTTTTCTTTGCTCTAAAGTTTGCAGACCACAACAAAAGTGCGGTTGGAGAAAGCAGGATATCAAAAAATAATCAAAGGATACCTGAAGACAACATCCAAACACCAGAATTTGGTAGATTTAAAGATGTATAAAATGCAACATGACCATGCTGTTTAGGCTTTGAGAGTAAGGAATACTTGTTAATTAACTGATGTTTGATTTAGAGTCTTTACTTTTCTCTCGAAAGCAAACAATTTATCCTATATATACATATATAACAGACTGTCAGACTCACTAAATAAAAGGAAAGCTTAACAAATTAAATACGTAGGCTTCATTTGGTTCTTCCTCTACTTTTATAAAAGATAGTTTTAGAAATAATGATTAGGAGGATGGAGTTTTATAACGAAGAAGCAAATATCAAAAAGCTTCTCAAAACAGTAGAAAAATAAAATTCCCTAAAAATCATTTTTATAGAAGCGTCCCATCCAAACATCAACAAAAATAAATTTCTCCATTTTTAAACAGAAAAGGAAAAAAAATGCCGAAACAAACAAGGCCTTAAGCTTCATTTGGTATGTTTTTTCAGTGCTTCTTAAAACAGTTTTAATACAAAAATTTTTAATTTTTGTACTAAATAGTTGCTTCTAAAGCAGTAAGAAAGCCATCCCAATTGCAGCCTATAATAATGAACCATAAAACTTCCATTTTCATTAAATATGGCTAAAAATTAACCTGTTATAAAACCATTTTTAAATATCCAAAACTTCAAATGTATGTCTAAAAATTAAAAAGTAAGATTAAAATGTACTTACTATACCACCTTAAAAAGTTACATAATAATAACATTTAAAAATTAGCGATTTACAAACTAACAAACAACTACTTCTATTTGTAACACTATCACTGAAATTTAAAAGAAAATGACGGAATTATAACCCATATTCCGATTTCAGTAAAATTTTTTGAGAATTTTATCTTGACAGCATGCGTAGATATATTATTTTGTTAATTCAAACTTTTTGATAGGATGCCAATATGTGAATCAGAAAATTTTGAATAATATATATGTTTTTTTCCTTAAAATATGTCAAAAATATTTTACCATTTATTCACACCTTTTATAAAATGTGACTATAATTAGTAGTTTTAGAGTAAAAATAACTTTTAGTGCAGTAATATCATGTGTTTTAATTCAAAATAACATAAAAGAAATGAAAAAAATTGCATCGCGGGAAAGTAATAGACAAAACTTTCAAGAACATGCAGAATATAGATATATATATAATTTTGTAAAAACAGTAAATCATTAATGCCAAAAAAAAATTGCACCTTATTTTTTAAAGGTGAAATTCAATTCTTTACATTTGTTGAAAAATAGCTTCAGTACTATCGACGCAACGTACTATTCAGGTAATATCTTATCCTCAGAAAAATTTAATATCAAATTTAATAATAAAAGATAAGAGCCGCGACGAATATCTCTATATTGAAATACAAAAATTCATATTATTTTATGCGTTGACCACAGCATTTTTTCGTTGTAAAGCCTTTATTATAATTACTATATGCTGGAGAATTTTTTATTAATGTGGGGAGGAAGTGAATTTCTCAGGGAATAAACAAGAGATATTTAGAAATAAATACTAAAACAAAGCGCAATTAAAAAGACCTGCTTTGTCAGGAACTTCACTCCAGCAGCCATAGCCATGAGTGGTAATATACTTGATAAGCTTCTCATCTTCCTCAGGAGACCACAGCCCCCTCTTCACCTTCTGCTGATTGCAGCAGGAGTGATGCCCCATGATCACTCTTTTAAATGCTTTCTTTTTCTTCTTGTCCTCAGCTTTGCTTTCTCGAACTCCTTGGCAAAGCGGTATTACGATACAGAAAGAACTTTGCTCTACTGCTTTGAAATTCTTGGTTGCAAGCTCGATCTCTGCCAACCCAGTGGCTCCTCTTTTATGAGTAACTCAAAGATGCTGGAGAGGTAGAGTCGCAGCTCCTCTCTCTCTCTCTCTCTCTCTCTCTGTCCCCTTCTTTCAGTCATTCTGTCGGACAAATCCACCTGATGGGGTCCGCCCTTCTCTATCTAACCCGATTGTGACTCACCATCAAACTCTCTCTCTCTTCGTTTTTCTCGAAGTACGATACGTAAGTAGACGTCTTTGGTCATCTCTGCGCCGTACTTCTATTATACGGCCATTAAACAACTACGAGAAAATTAAATCAATAGCTTTAAAAATATTATTAATAAAAAATGTAAGACTTAATTAAAGGCAAAATAATAAGTTGAATTAGCATAAACAATAGGATATTTATATAAAGATTTTTTTTTGAGAAAATTTGGGGCTTGACCCGTATATTAATAAAAAAGAATTATAAGAGAATTAAATCGAACAACAAAGATTAATAAGAAAAAAGAGCTGTGAACAAAACCAGCCAAAATACCAAAAAATTATCTCGGAGGGCTCACGAAAAAAACCGAACTGGCAAGAAGCCAAAATCCATCAAAGCAGAAATTGCTCATAGCCTTTAGAGACCACATAAATTAAATGTACCCGGTTGCCATCAAAATGCTACTCGCTGGTCCAGCAGGGTGCAGAATGTCAGGCCAAGTACTGGACCAAAAAATTAACTGGAATTGAGGCTGTCCAGGGGTAACACAGAACCAAAACCAGTTCGGCACATCATTGCCCAGAGATATTAGCAGATCCATCCCGAAAATACAGTTGGGGAGATAAGCACGAAGGGAATTTCTTGCTCAGAATTTCAAAGTTTTTCCATCTTTTAACCTTCAACAAAATGACTAAAGAAACCAAATGATAAAAGGCATTAGTAGAACAATGTTTCCCAGAATGTCTTTGTTTGTTTCTTTCCCTCCAAATATAATAAATCAAACAGCAAATGACAAAAAACAGAAGTTCTTATCATTATAGTTAAACCCCTGAACTTCCTCCAAAAATTCAAAAAGTTGAAGTAAGCCAGGTCTCAACAGAAAACCTTCAGCCATTGGGATAAGAGTGCGTAAAATCTAAAAGGAAAATTCACATTGAAAAAACATATGATTGATACTTTCATCTTCAATGGAGCATAATGGGCAGCAGGGGGTATTATAAATGTTTCTTTTCGCAAGCACCTCAGTCATTTTTAAACCTCCCCTTATAGCTAACCAAAAATAAGAAGAAAATCGAAGGGAAGCACGCTTATGCCAAATATATTTATCCCAGGTAACCTTTTCAAGATCAGAGTAATAAAGCATTTTAAAACTTTTAAAACACGGCACACCTTCCCCCTTCCAAGCAACATTAGAAGGGCAATCTAAAATGGGAATAGAAGAAATAACGTGCTACACCTGAGAAGAAAGGTTCTCACTTAAATTCCACTTTCCATCAGAGACAAATTCTTTGACACCAATGAATCCATAAGGCAAATGAGAGGAAAGGTCATTAAAGATTTCTCGTTAATCCACGGGTCCCAATCCATTGATAAGCAACTATGAGACTTGATAATCTGGAATTGGATCAGGTGTTTTATACGGACAGCAATAGAGCAAATGCATTTCCAAAATTTAGAGGCAGCTGGGTTAGGAGGTTTGAAAGGAGATATGTATTTTAATCTCAACCAAGAGAAGATCGGTGAGAAGTTGTTATAAAATCTCCAAATAAAGTTGCAACCAAAACCAAAATTTAAAGAATGAGTCTTAGAAATGCCAAGACCCCTAAAGCAGGTAGGGATGCAAGTTTTGTTCCAGGCTATAAGATGTAACTTCTTCTCCGATAAGACCCATGTTAAAGAAATTTAGAGCACAATCTATCTATCTATTTACAGCAGCATTTATGTATTATTTCACCTCTAATCCAATATGCTATGGTGTTAGCGATAATGAATTTTAGATATTAGACTCTACCTGCAAAAGGTAAAACATAGCTTTCCAACCAACAAGTAGCGTAGAGATTCTACTCAATAGTGATTAGAAGTGAGTGGAAGAGAGTTTTTTTATGCCAATAGGTATGCCAAGATATTTCAGATAACTATCCATAATGGAATATCCAAGAATAGAAGAAATTTCATTGGCTAAAATAGAGTTAGAGGAGAAAATAATGAAGCATTTGCTTTTGTTGACGGAGAGTCCAGCAAAGGCAGCAAATCTGTCTAAAGTGCCATTAAGAGCATGAGCGTTATCAAGAGTGGCAGGTCCAAAAACAAAGACATCATTAGCATAAAGTAAGTGATTAAACATAGTTGAGCCCCTCACAACCCCCCAAAAATTGCCAGCATCCAAGGCATTAGAGAACGCATCCATCACAATGGCAAACAATAACGGAGAGAGAGGGCAGCCTTGCCTAAGCCCCGAGGAGGATTGGATGTAACCCTCAAGGATCCCATTAATGCAAATGGAAAAAGGAACCTCCATAATGCAACCCTTGATCCAAGAAATAAACTTATGGGGAAAGCCTTTCTCCTTCAGCCTAACAACAAGAAAATCTTTAGAAACAGAATCGAAGGCTTTTTTAATATCTAATTTAGCACAGAAAAAGTCATTTCTAGCATCATGATTGAAATCTCTAAGAATTTTCGAAGCAAGGAACACATTATTAGATGATACCCTATTTTTAATGAAGCTAGCTTGATTGTCATGAATAATATGGGGCATGATCCCTTTCATGCGATTAGCCAAGATCTTCACAGTAATTTTGTAAAAAGTTTTACAAAGAGAGATCGGCCTATAGTTAGTGATGCAAAAGGCATGCGAATGCTTAGGGATTAATACAAGAGCTATGGCCTTAACATAGTTAGGGAGAAGATCAGTGTTGAAAAAATTTTTAACCGCTCTGCAAACATAGTACCCAGTGATGTCCCAAGAAGTCTTGTAGAATTCAAAAGTGAAGCCATCAGGTCCAGGGGCAGAAGAAGAAGCACCCGCAAAAATAACAGTTTTAATTTCCAGATCCGAGACAGGAGCAATAAGGGGATCAATAAGATCTACATGAATGGTGGGACCTGAAGGAATAGGCCCCCAATTATGGTTATTCGATTTGGGGAAATTAAAAAGATCCTAAAAGTATCTAATCGTGGCATTAGCAACCGAATTATTAGTGAAAAAATGACCTTCAAGAGTAGAAATTTCCCTAATCCGATTGATGTTACCTCTAGTTTTGATCCTTGCATATAAAAAACCAAGGTCATCTTCCCCATTAGTTAACAATTTAACTTTAGATCTTTGAAACATCCAAGAGGTCCAAGCACTTTGATAATAAGATAAGGTTGAATTAATCTGTTTGAGAGTGGCATTGAGATTGGTATCAAGCGGATTAAGATGAATTTGCTCAAGGCATCTTTTCTAGTTATAACCCATATTATCAATAGAATCTTTGAGGAAAGTGGAATTGGACCACTTATTCTAGTTCAAAAAAGCCTTCAGGTTTTTAAGTTTAAAGTAAAGGTTGGCAATTTGGCTAGTCTCCGAATGCTTGGAAATAATAGAGATCACACCATTCCAGTACCCCTCCATGTTTATCCAGTAATTTTTAAACAAAAATCTCCCATAAGTAGGCAACGGGTCTCCAAAACAGAGCACTAACGGGGAATGATCAGAACATCCAGGGGACTCCACCTTATAAAAGGAGGTGGGGTACTTTTCAAGCCAAGAATAATTTATTAGCATTCTATCCAATTTAATATGAATCGGGTTGGTAGCACGCTGGTTAAACCAAGTAAAACTCAAACCAGCAGAAGCCGGCTCAATAGTACCAGAATAAAAAAATCCAACTATTAATTTCATTAAGTTGGCTATGAGGAGGCTGGAGCCCACCCAATTTCTCTTTTGCCATCCTGTAACAATTGAAATCCCCCATAATAATCCAAGGGGAGGTGATGCTAGAAGCTAAATAAGACAACTAGTTCCACAAATAACTTCTTTCAGATTGGGTATTGGCCGCATAGATAATAAAGATGAGAAAGTGTTAAGTGGATCTAAGGGAAAGGGTGTCGTGAACAAGTTGGGGGGAGGTAATAGAGGGTTCAAAGTTAACATTATTGGAATTCCATTTCAGCCATATTCTTCTAGAGGAAGAGGAGTAGCCATTATGGAAACTCATCTCATGAGGAAAAATATGGTGGGAAATAGAGAACCATGGGTCTAAGTCAATGAGAGGGGGAATTTTTGCTTCAAGTATGCAGAGCATATCAAGACGATGATTGGTAATAAGTATTTTACAAGCAAAAACGTTTTGGGATTATTAAAACCTCGAACATTCCAGCATCCCAAAGAAGGAAGAGTCATTTGGATTTAGAGGATGTTTGCGCCTTCTTGGAACTTTTGGATCTTGGGGATTTGAGTTGTGGGGCTTGATATCTAATTTTGTTTCCCAAGAGGGTCGTCCTGTGAGTGGGAGAAACTGGTAGATGAGGTTTCAGAGTCTTCCAATTTCTTGGGTTGTTCTTTCGGTTGAAGAATAGAGAATTTATTAGGGGATGTGGTGGAAGGAGGTGCGTTAGAAAGCCAGGATGAGAAGGCCGGGGGGGGGGGGGGGGGTTTAGAAATCTGGTAGTTAGGAGATTTATGCATATTTTCCAACTTATCCCGAGCAGGAGAATCATCGGAGCAGGTGGAAGGGTCTTTAGGGGACATTTCATTCGTGGGAGAATTTAGATTAGGAATTGAATATGTTTGAATGTTAAACTCAAGGGAAGAGGGCCGAGCAATCTCAATGCAGATAGAATGACATTGATCAGAATCATCTTCAGTAGGTTGAAAGACATTTGGGGAGCGATCCAAATTGCTAGCAATGACTTGGGAGCTAGTCTGCATAACATATTGAGGCTGTGGGTTTGGGAGCAGAGCTGGATAGCTAGCAGTGGGAGGTAATAGTCTTGGTTATTGGGCATGACTTTTGCTTCTACCACGGGATAGAGGCTGAGTAGTTTTAGGTTGTGAATTTTTTGGGCAAAGGCTAGGAGGATGAATCAGAGAGCTTCAACTAGAATAGGGAGTCAGCTTCCAATCATAGATGACTTTGAGTTCAACATCATCACCATCCAAACTAACTGGAATAACATTCGAGAAAGAAGATTTGCTAGAAACCATAACACGAACTCTACGAATAGTCAACCGCATTTTATGAGCGGTAAGAGCGTCCACAACCAACAGATGACCGAAAAAAATGGCAATTTTAGAAATCCCTAAAGGGTTTCAAACAGCTAACGACAAATACAAAATTTTTATCCAAATGGGAATGGCGCTAAATTCATCACACTTGGAAATGAACTTAGGAGACCATTTTTGTAAGATGAACAGATGACCATAGAAAAACAACGATCCCCCCATCCATGCAACCTCTTAGTCCTCCGTGGAGGCAAACTTAAAAAGGACAAATCCATCATTCAAGGAAAGAAGATCAACAGAACCTTTGGGAGCCCAAACCTTCTTGATGGAGTTCAGTAGACTCATATAGGTAGGTCTTGGACTTACCGAATATCCAACCAGAAATAGGTTCCAATCAGGAACCCCGAGCGCCAGATCTTCTACAGAGAAGGAAATCTTAGTAGGAGGGGGAATGAATGAAAGAGAGAAATCATTTGCCACCGGATCTTGGTTGGTAAGGTTGGAAATGAAATTGAGACTAGGGGGAACCGAGAGAACCGGAGGAACCGCTCCAAGAAGTGGGGGGAAATCCGCAAGGTAGGAGGATGACACCATGAAAATGGCAAAAGGGGGGAGGGGGAGGCCCCTCCCCATGAGGAGACGCGGGAAGAGCGCGGGAGAAGAGAAGGCACGACAAAACCCTAGCAGAGAAAAGCTAAGGCTATCTTTTCCAATGCATGCCATTTATATAAAGTTATAACTTATATAATTTCTCTTTACAGCTGGTATCTACTAAAAATTAATATTTTAGAAGATACAGTTTAATTATTTTCTAATTTATAAAAAAAATATTTTGCTATTTTGAGTAAATGTTATGAAAAGTAAGTACACAGCAGGGAATGAGTATTCAAAAGTGAGTGAGAGAGAGAGAGAGAGAGAGAGAGAGAGCGAGAGAGAGATTAAAAAGGATGAAAAGCATGCACTTAGGATTATAGTAGAAATATAGATTTTCCTCATACAGTAATAGCATTGATAAAACCATAGGTTATGTCTCATTTTCTTTCTTGTTGCACTGCATTTGGCCATTTCCATTGCAGTTCCTTCCTCTGATCGTGTTGGCCCTAAATACTTCCTGATGTTTGTCAGTTTCTGTTTGGTGAGACTAATGATAAAAAATAGCTAGGACTCACTAGTTTAATGTCTATGGATTTGTAATATCTTATGGAAATTTTCAAATTACTTTAAATATGGAGAAGATCAACTTATGGATTTGATGGGATCAGATTATGGCTTTGATTGATTCTAATTATGACACTGATTAGATTTGTCATATTATACCATCAATTAGAGTTTTCAAGTTAGCTTGGATTTCTATATTAGATTTGTTTTTAAATTTATATAAAAGGCTTGTAGACTGTTAGATGAGCAAGCTAGAGAGCCAATTATAATCATATTTTTTCACAATATAGTGAAATCATTCCCTCCTAATGGACGTTGGCTTATTTGTTGAGCCACATAAATCGCATCATGTTCTTTTTGTTTGGTAGTGTGATTTGTGATGTTTTCTACTGTTTTGCAGAACAATTGATATCAGAGATAAATTTCAGTGTGATTTCCTATGTAATTTGGATATCATTGGCTATTCTTATTCATTCTTATCTAGTTTGTGCTTCATGTCGAGCAGGATCAAGAAGAATTGGTCTGGATTATTCAAGAAAAATAGGTTAAAGCACAGAGGCATTATTTTACGTGAGCTTGGATCATAGGTTACAGAATACAGTGCAATGGCATGCAAATCAGGGCAGATCTAGTTGCTCCTAGGTCAGGTACTACAGATACATGATTTTTCATGCAAGAAGCACAAAGGCGAGTGAGGATGTAAGTGAGTTAAACTGGGCAAGTCTCATGGGCATAGTCTTGAGAAGAATGAGAGTGTTTTCAATTTAGAGACTTGTGATTTAAACCAAGATTGTATGAAGTTCAAAGAGAAAGGGAAAGGGAGTTTTCTTTGAGGCAAACAAAAACCTTAATGGGATCAGACCACTATCCTATTGCCATCAAATTATTCAATTCAGGTTTCAAAAAAACAAAAAAACTACAATTTGAAGAAGTATGGTCTTCTTATCCAGCTTCTAAAGATGTAGTAGCCAAGTCTTGGAATAAATATGCAGGAGGTAATGAAGTTCAGAGTCTGAACATCAAATTTAAGAGAACTCTCAAAGCCTTATTACACTGGAGTAGAGCTAAACATGCCAACCTCAGTTTTCTGAAGGAAAAACTGAAAGCAGAGACTGTTGAACTGCAGGAGGAGGAAGCTTTCTCGGGTTCTCTTTCTAAAGATAAAATATCTTTATTAAGATTTAAAGTTAAAGAGCTGAATGCTACTTTGGGAAGATTAAGCTCTTGGTGGAGACAAAGAGCCAAAGTGAAATGGTATAAAGACTGTGATTCCAACTCTGAATACTTTCACAATATCAACTTTTTCAAGCAGATCAAGAATTCAGAAGGCATTTTGACTGAAGATCAGAATTGCATTGAAGAAATATTCTCTAGTTTTTTCCAGGAGAAGTGGAAGTCCAAAAATTGCTCTCTTTCCGGTTGGCCGACTCTTTCCAGAACCTTGGATGAAGCAGATAGGGAAAAGCTCATGGCAGAATTTACTAAAGAGGAGTTGGAGGCTGTGATCTCTCATATGGAGAACAACATTTCACCTGGCATTGATGGTATCTCCTATACTTTCTTTAAATGTTATTGGCCCATTATTAAGCTAGATGTTTGGAAGGCTATAAGCCTTTTTTTTTTAAATTTGGGTTTATGTGTGATGATTGGAAGAATACTCTAGTTGTTCTTATTCCCAAATGAAGAACCCATTGACTCCTAATTTTAGACCAATTAGTCTTTGTAATTCTATTTACAAGATAGTGGAAAGAATGTTATTAAACAGGATTTCCAATTGTATTCCTAAACTCATTTCTAAGAACCAAGTAGCATTTATCAAAGGGAGATCTATTTCGGAAAACATCTTGCTCACTCAAGAAATCTTTCACAAATTTAGAAATTCCAAAGCAAAGAAAGGGTTGATGGCAATTAAAGTGGACATGGAGCAGGCATATGATAGTAGGGGGTGGAGAAACTTGAAACAAGTTTTAGAACTTTTTGGTTTTACTTGGTCTTTCACTAATCTCCTTCTACAGTGTGTGGTAGACACTAGATATTCTATCATTGTAAATGGTTCTAATTCTAATTGGATACAGGCTGAATGTGGATTCAGACAGGGATGCCTTTTATCCCCGTACTTGTTAATCTTATGCTCAGAATTACTTACTGAAGCATTCAGGAGAAATGGAAGCAAAATAGGAGTGAAGGTGAACCCGAAAGCAGAAATTGTTTCCCATCTTCTATACGCAGATGACATCATTGTTTTTTCGTATGCAAATCGGAAAAATGCTAAGAAGATTAAGAAGATTTTGAAGATGTATAGTAGATGGACTGGGCAAAAAGTTAATGATCGAAATTCATCTATGATTTTCGGCAAAGCAGTACAAAGAGACAAATCAAAGGTGATTTCCAAACTTATGGGTTTTAAAACAGTGGATGAATTGAACTATCTTGGAATCAAGATGACATTAAGAAGACTAAAAGCCTCAGATTTTCACGAAGTTCTGGAAAAAGCTTATGATAAGCTTAATGTATAGGGCAATGTATCCCTTACTCTAGCAGGTAAACTTCAATTAATCAAAACTTCTCTCCTTTCTATCCCTGTTTTTATTTCTACTCACTCTCTTATTCCCATGGGAGTGTTAAGAGACCTTGATAAGCTATGCATAAATTTTCTTTGGAATAAGGCAGATAAAAGCTCGGGAATTCATTATGTAGAATGGAAAATTCTTTACAAGCAAATTATGTTTGGAGGGCAAGGAGTGGTATCTGCAGTAGATAAAGTTGGCTCTTGGAGAGAAAAATTTCCTTGGAGTTTAATCTCTAACCCAGGTTCTCTGTTGAATAGAATTCTTATTGCCAAGTATGGTAGGAATTTCTGTTTTTCTGAATCTAAGTTGGGATGTTCTCCTACTTGGAAAATCTTAAATAATGGTGGTAAATTCCTTCAACAAATTGTCAAATGGAAAGTTTCGGATGGTAAAAGCATCAATACCACTAAGGATATTTGGATCCTTGATAAATCTATTGATAGATGGCCTACGTATGTCTCCAATCTTCTTGATGAGCAATGCTGTTTGAGATATTTCCTTCATAATGGAAGCTGGAACATTCAAATGCTAAATCAATCTTTTGGTAAGGAGTTAGTAGATCTAATATCTACAGTCCCCATCAATGTAGGAAGCCCGGGAGATGAGTTGGAAATTCTTTACAAATATTCAGGGAAGTCTTTAGCTTCCTTAATTTCCGATCAAAGAAGCACCCTTGAAGAAGAAGATGTCAGCTGGAAGTGGCTGAAGAAGTTGAAGTTGAGACCAAGAGTTAAAATTTTATGGTGGAGGTTAATCCATAAGGCTATTCGTTCCAATGAATTCCTTATGTATAGAAGAATCATTAATTTTAATGGGTGCCCGAGAGGTTGCTGTGAAGTGGAGGATGCCAATCACTTAACTGTTAATTGTTTCTTTCTTAAGAAAGTGATCTGTGTTATTCAAAAATGGGGTTTTAATATCCAGGTTTTTTCTGATTTGGAATCCTGCTATAATTGACTTTCGGTTTATTCAAATTGCAATCCTTTCTTTGGGAATTTATATTGCTCAGCAGTTTTCTTCTCATGGAAGAGTAGGAGCAAACTAGTTCACGGAAAGATAGAAGATAGCCTTCAAGTTATTGCTGCCAATGCAATCAGCTTTTCCTCCCTCTCTTTCAACAATGATATGATTTCGATAAACTGGGCTTCTAATCAGCATTTGCTATTTTCTAACAATTGGAAACCCCCTCAACCAAATGGATCAAGCTCAATGTGGATGCTTCTCTTGCTGAAAACTACATAGCTGGAATTGGAGGTGTGATAAGAGATAGTAAAGGCAGATTCTTGTATGCCTTCGGTTTCAAAAGATGTCACTGGGACATCTCTTCTCTTGAATTAGAAGCTCTTATGGCCTTAAATAAGGTTATTCAAGAATGGATGTATGATGCTAAAGGAATCATAATTGATGGTGACAACTTCAATGTCATGAAGCATATCCAAAGGATCTTTAATGAAGGCCCATCCGAAGGTAACAGTCATCATATTATGGATTTTTTCTTTCTTAGGAATTTCAATCAAGTGATTTTTCAATGTGTAAATAGAATATGTAATAAGTTAGACGATTGTTGTGCTAACCATGCTAGATTGGGTGATTTTATTTGGGACAATTTGGTAGATAATAACATTCCTCCTACTTTCAACAATGTGTTGAAGGAGGAATGTGATGCTCTTTACTTTGTTTAGTTTCCTTTTTTCTCTTAATAATATTGCTTAATGCATTTTCTCAAAAAAAAAAAAAAAACTAATCATACTATACAATCCACTATTTTGATAAAAACCCACCATCAAATACATCAAATATATGTTACTTTAAACAAACAAATTTAAATTTTAAAATTTTAAGTTAACATATTGTACAATAGCAAAAACAAACATCAAGCCTTTATCCAACTACGTGGGGTTAACTAAATGAATCCTTTTTCTCCATAGTGTCCTATTAAAAGTTAAATTCTCGTTTAAATCTAATAAAGAAATGTCATTTCTAATATTTTCTAACCAAGTCTTTTTAGGTCCGCCTCTACCTTTCTTAACATAAGTCAAATCTAATACCTCTACTTTCCTAACTAGGTCATCGGAAGGCTCTCATTTTATGTGACCAAACCATCTAAGGTGACTCTCTCTAATATTATCTTCTACTGGATCTACTTTAACCTTTTCACATATATGCTCATTTCGTATCCTATCTCTAAGGGTAAAGACACTCATCCACCTGAGCATACTCATCTCTACCATGCTTAACTTAGTATTATGCTTCTGTTTTAATGGCCAACATTCAGCACCATAAAGCATTACAGGCATCACCACCAAGTTATAGAATTTTCCCTTAAGTTTGATGGGTACTTTTCTATCATACAACAAGCCCGATGTATTCCTCCACTTCAACCATCCAACTTGAATTATGCTGATAATATCCCCATCTATTTTACCATCACTCTAAATAATAGATTCAAGATATATAAAATGTGTACTCTTATTAATGACTGTCACAATCCCCTCACTAGGTCTATTACTACTAAAATTACTCTCCATATATTCCAATTTAGATCTACTCAAGTGAAAACCTTTAGACTCTAATGTTGTGCTCCATAATTCAAGTTTACCTTAAACTCCCGCTCCAATCTTATCGACAAGAAGAATATCATTAATAAAAAGCATACACCAAGTTAAATCCTCTTGCAAATGTCTAATGAGAACATCCATGACTAAATCAAAAAGATATGGGCTTAAGGCTGATCCTTGTTTTAACCCAACCAAAATAGGGAATACTTAGTCAAACCACCTTGTGTTTGAACACAAATAATAGCACATGCATACATACTTTTAATGATTTGGATATAAGCGTTATTAACTTCTTTCTTTTTAAGAACTCTCCATAGCATTTCTCTTGGAACTTTATAATGTGCTTTTTCTAAATAACAAAAAATAATATATAGATCCTCCTTATTTTCTCTATATTTCTTCAACAAACCTCTTAATAAATGTATGGCTTCCTTAGTCAACCTACCCGATATGAATCCAAATTGATTTTGAGATACATTAGTATCACGCCGCAAACTATGCTCATAACTTGCTCCATAGTTTTAAAGTATGACACATTAACTTAATTGCTCTATAATTCACACAATCTTGTGCATCACCTTTATTCTTAAAATAGGAATTAACACACTCATTCTTCACTCATCTGGCATCTTTTTAGTCTTCAAAAAAATATTGAAAAGTTTAGTAAGCCAAGAAATTCCTTCATCTCCTAAGCATTTCCACACCTCTATTGGAATATCATCAGATCCAATAGCTTTTCTACCATTCATTTTCTTTAAAGCCTCTCTAACTTCAATGCTAAGTTCACTACAGTCAATCTTATTTTCATAATCTCCATTAAAATATTTAGCAAAATATCTCATCCACCTTTGTTGAATATCATCTTCTGTGAAAAGTTTTTTTTTTTTAAATTCATCCTTAATACACTTCACTTGAACTAACTCATTGCTACTCCAATCTCTTTATTTGGCTAGCCTATTTGTATATCTTTCTCCCTCCTTAGTATCTAATATATTATATAAATCACTAAAAGCTAAGGTCTTTGCATTGCGTATTACTTTCTTATATTTCATATGAGCCTATTTATATCTTTTCCAATTATCAGAGTTTTTAAAATTAAGCCAGTTTTTATAACAAATCTTTTTATTTTTAATATTTTCATACAAATTTGGATTCCACCACAAACTATTTTTACTATTAGAAGCTTTTTCCTTTAATACTCCAAGCACATCTTTTGCAATATTCTTAATATTACTAGCCACTTTTTCACATATATTATTAACATCCTTATACATAGACAAAATCTTAAGATCTAAAATCTTCCTCTTAAAAATATTTTTGTTAATATTCTTTAAATTCCCCCATCAAATTTTAAAATATCATTTTATTTTATTTTTAATTTTCTGCCCCTTTATCTTAAAGTCCAAGATTAATAATTTATGTTTGATACATAAATTTTCACTCATAATAACTTTACAATATTTGCAATCTAAATAATCTCATTTGTTTATAAGAAAATAATTAATCTGAGATGTATTATATCCATTTTTATAAGTGATGAGATGCTCATTCTTTTTTTTTAAATAAGGTATTAGTAATTAAAAAATCATAAGCTAAATAAAAATCTAATATGGTCTTGCCACCTTCATTTGTCGTTCTAAACCCATGGCCACCATAAATGATTTTAAAAAAATCTACATCTTTACCAACATGTCCATTTAATTCTTCTCCAATAAAAACTCTTTCTTCAAGAGGTATCTTTTGTACTAATTCTTTTAAGTCATTCCAAAAATTTAATTTAGAACTCATATCCAAACCAACTTAAGGAGTATAAGCACTTATAATATTAACAATCTTAGCATCAACATCAATCTGTAAAGTTATAATTCTATCTCAAATCTTATTAATTTTTTTAACATTATCCTTTACACTTTTATCTATAATAGCACCTACACTATTTCTAGTATAACTCTTACCTGAATACTAAAGTTTAAATCCTAAACTATCAATCTCCTTAGTCTTTTGTCCAAGCTATTTAGTTTCCTGGATGCATAAAATATTTGACTTTCTATGAATCCTAATATCTATTAATTCTATTAATTTTTTTTGTAAGGGAACCTATATTCTAAGTTTATATCCTAATGTTTATTTCATATTTTTTAGTTTCATGGACTAGCTTCTTTGCCCACATCCATCTTTGATGTGGAAACCCTTACCTATTTAACACTGCACCTGAGTGACGGTGCAGCAGCCCTTGCACACTTGTCACTGTATTCAGGCCATATATCACATCGCTTACAGGGGATGCCCTAAATTAACATAATTTCTTAAAGGATTCATGTCATTATTATTCTACAATTTTTACACTGGCAGTTAACTACCTAACGCAATCCTCCACTTTTCTCATCCAGGACTTGGGACCTAACAATGACAATGTTAAGTTATCATATTGTATGAAAATAAAATAATATTGCCTAATTTAATGCCATAAAATAAGGCATTAAATAAGGGTATATTCATCATTAATGATTATGCTATATGATCAACTTCAAACTGTTCGATTAACCTAAGAGCTCATTGAGCTCATTTGGATAAACTTGGTTCATCATGGAAGATTTGAGATTCAATTAAACAAATCATAATATACTACTATTCATCATATAGTACAAATATTACATGAATTAGAGTGATCTTATTATAATAATATTTATAAAATAATATTAATAGTGATTGAATTAAACTAATTATATTGTACAAATATCAAATTATATTGTATGATCATAGAAATAAATTTTTAAAATGAGGTATTTATAAGAGCCCACTTTACAAACCCTTTTTTGTTTTGAGGGATAAAGGTTTTAGGGAGTTAGAGACATTTTTTTCTTAGAGAGAGCTCAAAGAGTGTCTACTTTAAAATAATAAGAAGAAAAAAAAATTCCTCAGCATACCTAGCTTTTGAATCATAAAAAAAGGAGCAAGATGATGAGGTAATAAACTTACGCTGAATAGTCAGGGATTCAATTGTTAAATCCGATCAGGTATAAGTATATAAGGTTGTTTTATATGTTTTGTTTATGTGTTTTATGTGTTTGATTGTCTTTTTTGTGTGTTTGTTTTTTATTATATTTTAAGCATGATTCCATATTTTTGTTTCTTTATGTATGTTATTATTTTTCTTCTACATATATTTTAATTTTAGGTGTTATTTTATCTCTTCTTTTTGATAAAGTCAAATGGGGAGAACATATTATAGTTAGTTATATTTGTGGTTAGCTACTATTTTTCTTCTATTTTTTTGTTATTTAGTTTTTAAAATTTTTTGTTATTTAGTTTTAACAATTTATTTCTTTAAAAAAAAATTAAAAAATCCCCATTTTTTAAAATAATTTATTTGATAATATTTTTAGTTTGCAAATTCAA